CTAGCCAGGGAGCTACCCACATGGCACAGTAGACGTCTCCTGTCTTACTCACTGCTCCCCTCAGCAGTGTATTTCAGTCAATCCACCTATTCTGTTTCCCACTCTGTCTCTGATGAATCTTCTCACCCCCCACACCTCTGGCCTGTACCCCAGTTCTTATATGCATAAATGAATATATCTTAAAAAAAACCCAACTTACTTTAAGACTATCTAATTTGGTCCCGTAATTTTGCAGAGGAGGACACTGAGGCACAAGAAAGTCATGTGATACACGCAGTCATGCAGTATAGACAGGATCAAATTCAGGTCTCCTGAGCTAGCCCCCGCAGCTCCAACACTTTTCCAACAACCACAATCCTTTTCCACACCACAATCCTTTCTTTTGATTCAACTCAGTTGAAATCAACACATGCTGATAGAAAGCCTAATGTGTGCATTTTAGGAAAGAGGAAGAGGAAGAAGGACACACAAGAAAGGAGCAGAAATCACATTTATTCCAATGAAAGTGCCAGGGAGCCCAGGATGTGAGGCAAGAGTCCATCATCCCTCAGAAGCTTGTAGTCATGAAGAAAAGGAAGACAGGTAGGCAGCACAGACCAATGAGAGCGCTACTAAAGATTTACACATGTCAGATTAAAACAAAGGAAGTTGTTTTTTTTTTTTTTTTAAGATTTATTTATTTATACAAGCACTGGGTACAGTCAGAAACGCGGGAGGGTGAGAGAATTCACCAGAGCCAGAGCGGGGAGCAGAGCAGGCAGAAGGACCGAAGTACACTGCTGAGGGGAGCAGGGGACGGCAGGAGAGGTCTGTGCGCCATGTGGGACCCTCCTCTGGTGGCCGGGGAGCAGCCAGGGATCGAACCCCGGCCCTCCCTGCCGAGGCTCCGGGCAGCTTTGAAACCCAGCGCTCAACCGCTGCGCCACAGGGGAGGCCCAAAACAAAGGAAGTTTAAGATGCTTGAAAAAGGCTTTGGGGAGGAGGGAACTTTTAAAACAGGTTAAACCATTCGCCACCTATTCTAACTCCTTAATAGCTGGTAAGAGGGTAAAAAGCTGAAAACCCTCCCAGCCTCTCCTGTAGCTGAGGGTGGCTAAGTGACTCCTTTTGGGCCAGTGAGACATAAGCAGGTTTCTCCTAAGACAGCTTCTACCTCTTTCTCCCCGCAGAGAACTTGGGGATTGCTGAGTCTGCTGTAGCTGTCACCGCAGATAAAGCAGGCACAGCAGGGGTGATGGAAGGATCTGATTCGACATGGAATCCAGATAGCAGCTGCCATACTAGGCCCAGACCACCTGCCCACAAACTTCTAGTTGCACAAAAAGTGTTCATGCCTTTTTGGTTCAGCCAGGGTAGCAGAACTTCTCTTCCAAGCCACTGAACCCAAACCTGTTGGGTTCACAGACACTGAAAAAGGGCAAGAAAGGTGCAGGCAAACATTCCAGGATGGGAACAGCCTGGGGCATGTTCTCTGCAAAGCCAAAGAGAGTATAGAGAAAGGAAGTGCTGACAGCAGGCTGGAGTGAGTGGGAGTCCCTGGGGGGCCCGGGTCAAGGGGTGGGCTTCCTTGGGAAAGCAGAGAGAGGCGCCCTTGAGAGGCCTGAGTGTTGTGCTCCCGGGCAGTTCATGTTAGCTCCTTGGTGCTAAACACCAGGTGCCTCAGTGAGCGTGCCTGTGAGGAGCCTGGAGCGAGAGTGGGTGACCTATTTCACCCTAATCTGCAGTGCATACATTCCATTCCTGCTGTCCGAGTATTTACGCGGGACTTGAGGAACCACAGTACCGCAAACTGCCTCACTTTCTGAAAGTTCCACTCTCACCTTCACCCACAGTGGCTGGGCTGCGCAGCCACAGCCTGTACCGCTGGCCTCTCAAGTGGGCCTGCTCTGCCTGTAGCACCTGCTGGGCACAAGCACTTCACATGGGCCCGAGTAGAAGCCATCAGAAGACGGATACACAGGAAAATGAATGGGATCTGGGATCACTGATGGGAAAATGGAAGTGGGAAGGATACCCAACCTGTCAGGACCCTGACAAGTTCAGGAACCTTCAGGCAGTGGGACAGATTCTTCCCTGACTTAACTTGTCTGTGCCTCTGTGTTTCTCTGATTCAAAAGCTTGAGCTTCAGGGACAGTGTGATGGAAAAGTACAGCTTCTAGTTGGCCTCCAACTAACCTGTCTGAGCTAAAAAATATATATATATTTTAATTACCACTCTCTAGACTCTGGTGTCCCTACCTATCCAGTCTTACCTATGCTGAGAGAGCTAGACTAGCAGCCTTCCCCCACCCCAGCCCCTTGCAGCCAGCAGAGAGCCCCTCTCTGCACATTTAAAAGGCCTGTATTCTGCGTCCCCAGGCAGTGTCTTGAAGGCAGAGTCCCATCCATGTGTGTAGCAGAAACCCAGTGCACCTTACTGAAAGGATAAATGAATGGCCATGGCTACTCTTTGATCAGGGTTTTGGGAGAGAAGTACTGAGGCTCCACAGGCAACTAAATGACTCCATGAACCTTGTACTCCCAAGCCCCAGGCTATTCAGCCTCAGGAGAGAATGAGGCTAAGTTAGCGCAGTTTTCATCAACTATATTCCATAGAACTAGTCTCACTAGATGTTGATAGCATACTGAGAAAAAGGTCCTCTGGTCAAAAAATATTAAGGAATTTGCTAACTTTACCCTGCATTCTACCTGCCTCTGCCCTGCATCTGAAGTAACCCACTAAAAGCTCCGAGTAATCCTCTAATAAAGATATTTGGTTAATTCTGTCTACCCTGGAATTTATTAAACTTATTTATCCATGGAACCTGTTTTTGGAGAATATTTATGAGCATGAGCATAGTTGGAGAAGCATTGATTTCATGGAAATGGTTTCTATAATGCAGTTTTTACTTACAAACGTCCTCTAGGGCAAAAATTTCATTGGTTGCTGCATAACCAAATGGACAGAGAATGGAAATGAGGATGGATGGAAGAATTCAGACCTTTATTATATTTATTATCACTGGTCTGTACCCCAGCTCTTGTATAAAATAAATAAATCTTAAAAAAATATTATATTTATTATCTCATTCAAAGAACATCTACTCAACATCAATGGATTATCTCCTCAATGTTAAACAAAAAGGACATAGGATAAATAAGGTAGGGTCTTCTCGCTCCAAGAAAGCACAGCCTAAAGAGAAAAGAACAGAACAGTGTGCTAAATTCTTGGAGGCAGAGCCTTGGGAAAAACCTAAAAACTAGACCTTGAGTAATAAAAATAATATTAATAATATCTTCACATAGTACTTGCCAGTGGCAAGTAAAGAGCTTAAAACAGTATTAATGCAGTGAAATCTCAAGACATGCTTACTTACCTGGTAACTTTAGTACTGTATTTTACAAATGAGGTCAGTGAAGCTCAGAGAGGTTAAATAACTTGCCCAAGATCACACAGCTAGAAATGTGGTACTGTTCTAGCTCTGTGACCTTTAAACCCAAGGGGGGGCCTCCCTGGTGGTGCAAGGGGTTAAGTCTCAGCACTATGAAACTATTGGCAGCTGCTGCAGCATGAGTTTGATCCCCGGCCAGGGAGCTGACCCACATAGTGCAGCAGACTCTAGAGTTCATGTTCTCAGCACTAGGCTGTACTGCTTCTCTAAGGATAAGTTGTAAACCAGATGAGGACAGAAACCATCCAGGCAAAAGGAATAAAGAACAGCAAGTAGTTGTGTGTATGAAACACAGTGGGTGGGGGTAACGGCAGGTCAGTTTGGACAGATTGTCTATATCCAGAGTGAACTAATGCCAGAGTTCAGTTCTCACTGGATCCTGCAGACTTGGGTCCCTTCTACACGGGTCCTTTAGCAAAAAGGGAAGATGTGAACTTTAGGAGGGTCTGGGGTATATATATGAAGGTTGAGATACTTCTGTGAATTTCTTTTGAAGTCTTTCCCCACCATCTGAAAAATTCATGAGAATTCTGTATTTTATATGATAATAGAATTGTGTTGTTTTAATATAAAACATTTCCATCCCTTATCAGTTCAATGATCATTTTTCTACATGGAACTCCAGGCACATCTGTTTGCATTCCCGCTCCCCACAGGAGGCATCGCTATAAACAATGAAAGTCAGTTAAGCCTGAGCCAAGGAAGGGCTTGGTCAGATCTGTGTCTTCAAAGACAACTCTTTAGAATATCAAGATCTTAGAAATAACTTAAATATTCATTAAGAGAGAACTGGTGAAATAAATGACACGTGTGGAATAGACTACTGTGGAACTTAAAAAAAAAATGTGAGGTCGATGAGCAAGCACAGGTATGGGAATCTCTCTAAGGTAGCATATTAGATGAAAAGAGGGAAGCGTAGACCCATGTGTAATACTGTGTATTCCTGTGTGGGGGAGATGTGGAAAGCACAGGTGTTTTGAGGATATCTCTGTACACACAGGTGGTACAGGCAAAGGAAAGTTCTGGAAGGGCGTACATCAAACTGTCAATAGCAAATACCTCTGGGAAAGAACACTGGGGATACTGAGAGAGCTCATAATTCATTTCATATCCTTTAGTAGGTATTATTTGAATTTTTTCTGTGTGCCTGCACTACTTAAAAAAAAAAAGTTTAGTGAGTCAAGGCAAAAAGTAAAGAAAATAATAGTTTTTAAGAAAAAGAAAAACTGAAAACAAACTTGGTGGCATTCTGGATGATAGAAAGAGAGAGTGGGTCTGGAGAAAGAGCTGGCTAGAGGCCACGGCTCCAGAGCCGGACGACACATGTTGGAAAAAAGCTGCAGTGGGAGAGGGAAGATATTTGAGGTTTGAGCAGCAGAAACTAGTGGACTTGCCAACTGATTAGTTGTGGATGGTGTAGCAGAGGCAGGGGTTAAGAATAATTTGGGGGATAGGAGAGTTGGGGAGACAGAATGTAGGGGAGCAAGGAGTTCAGTTTTGGACATTCTGGCTTTGAGATACTTAGGACACACAGGCAGAGACAAACAATTAGAAATATGAGCCTAGAATTTATGATGATAAACAATCACGTTTACCTTATTAGGGCGATATTAAGTTCTAGTAGAATAAGGAATGGGACATGATTACCTTTCTGCACAGGACAGAGTTTACACAGCAGGCCTGAGCCTGCTCGCCCTTGGCAAGGCCTGCTTTGCCAAGTTGGCCTTGACTGACTCTTGGGGATTGGCTGACAAACAGCTCTCAGTGATGATAATGAAACTTTGCTTAAATGATGAGGGTGGTTCACGCTGCCTGGTTGTGTGCAAATGATATGGTTTGTGATGAACACCCGTGCTCCTTCTAGAAGTCTGCAATTTTGGTACATGCTCGGCAGAGGATGCCTTATGTGACCAGCCTCCACTGAAACCCTAGGGCACTGAGTCTCTAGCGAGTTTCCCCAGTAAACAACACTTGACACGTGTTGTTACAATGCATTGCTAGAGGAATTAAGCGCCTTTTGTGTGGTTTCAGGGAGAGGACTCCTGGCAGCTGGCTTCTGGCTTCCTCTGGACTTCGGCCCATGCACCTTTTCCCTCCGAGGTTTCTGCTTTGTATGCCTACCCTGGGATAAAGCTCAGCTACGAGTACAACTATATGCTGAGATCCATGAACCCTTCCAGCAAATTCCTTCTAGCACACATCTTCCTTCAGTGCAGGACGGTGGGAGAGGGGCTCAAAATCAAAATCTGCATAGTCTCGATGTCCCCTCTCCACCCAAATGAAGATAGAACATTGAGTGGTTTTGGAAGCTTAGTTTTTCTCAGAAAGAAAGGTGTGGAGCATGTGAGGTGTGTTCCTGACAGCTACACCTGTTGCATGACTGTGTCTTAGTGGAGCCATCGCGTGCCTACAGCCGAGCTGCTCACTCACGGAAGCTTTCACCACACACTTGCCGATGACAGCACCACTTCGAAGTGCCAAGTCGCTCTGACGGTCCGTGACTCCGTGATTGTTGCCTGTTGGAATGGCTTGGGATTCTCCTGAGACAAATCCCAGCAGAGGAGACAAAGGCTGATGGTCACAAAGCCTGAAAAAGGAGGGGCCGGGAGACTCTTACACCCCTGGCCTGAATCCAAAGTAGCCCCAGTGACAAGTGATGCACCACGGACTTTTCATCTTCGTTATCCCCAAGCTGACCAGTTCGGGAATCTGCTCTTTCTTTCGGCCAGGCCCTGGCTCCAGGAGTCTCAGTCATAGAGGTGTGTCGCAGGGAGGAGCTGTTAGGATGGGCAAAGTTTCCTCACAAACTGCCTCTGCTCTGAAAACTGCCAAGTCACGCTTTGTTGAGAAATGGGGGTGTAGGGAGGGGCTGATGGTCTTTTTTGTGTTACAAGTCATCTTTTTGGTGTTGCCGTACATTATACAGTCATATCATGAGCTGGGATCAGAGAATGAGCCGTGGCAATTGCTGTACGATCAATTCCCCATCCTCTGAGGGGCTGATTTCCACCCTGTGGCTTTATTGTTGGCCACATAGGGTGTTTTCTGTTTGATCTTTCCTGAATACCCCTCACTCCTCCCAGGAAATTCTAACATCACCAGCCTAGACAGTAACAACCCTGGCCAAGGACAGATAGGGGGACTTATTGGGTTGCAAAGGACAAGGTGAGGGTCCTGCTTAGGTGCCATTTCCTGCCCGCTCTGTACAATTGCAGAGACTGTCTAGGTGTAAGATCTGGTATTTTATTTTCTTTATTTTAGAGAATCCTTAGTCTTAGTTCTTTGATATGGTTTACTGAGTCTCTTGGCAACTTACTAAGAAAAATTTTCTCCTTGGTTCTACCCAAATTCTATTTCTGCCCAAACTAACCTGAAGTCCCTCTAAGTCCATTGCTTCCAGAGACAACCAGAGTTCTGAGTGGTTAGCTGGAGAACGGCGTGGTTCTAGAGTCACCTTGAATTTTGGGCAGATTATGTCATCTCTCCAGTCCTCCTGTTCTCCTGTAAAAGGGCAAATGCAATGACACGCTAGGCCTTGTGTCTCCTGCACACAGCAAGCTTGGATTGAAAGGTGGTTCTAATTATTTGCCACAGGGAAAGCTTTCTGAGCCTCCCCCTCTCCTTAGTCTCAGGGTTTAGAGGCCCCCACACTGACTTCCTCTCCCATTTCTCAGTTTTTGCTGACTCATTTTCTCTTTTCCTTGCTCCTTGTAGATTATTCTCTAGGGCATCTGAGACCTTTCAGCCATGGTGTAGCTGTCCTTATCCCAAGTACACTCGTAGTGCTTCCTCCTCACCCACCTACTCCTTATAAATTCGTCTTAGTCAATCAGCACAGGTACACAGAGAACTTTCCAGACTACTGGCAGCATTTTTGGGTCAGATAGGACACATAAAACTTTTTTGCATATAAGAAATTAGGAGTTATATAATGAGGGTTTCTAGGAAAAAAGTTCATTTTCTAATTTAGTTCTGAGTTTTCAGTACCTGAAACAGGGATACCCGGTTGATTGAGACATCTTAATAACCACATTTTTTTTTTTCTGGACAAGAGCTACATGCATTCTAGATACTTCCTTCCTCTTGAGGTCTCACTTCTTCTGCCAGAATAACAATGACTGTATAGCACATTGTCTAGTTGTGTGGGTTTCTGGGGATCTGCAGGAGGAAAAAGATAAGTACAAAACCCCATCACAAATCCAGCCAGAGTAGCTCCAGGGAGAGGCAGAAGAGGACATTTAAATATATCAGATTCAAGATGCAGTACAGGTTCCTACAGCAGGGAAATGCAAATCAAAACCATAATGAGATACCACTTCACACCCAACAGTATAGATAACAATAATCAAAAAGATGGATAGCAAGTGTGGACAAGGGGCAGAAATCAGAAACTCATACAATGCTGGTAGGAATGCAAAATGGTGTGGTTGCTTTGGAAAACAGCTTGGCAGTTCCTCAAAAGGTTAAATATAGAGTTACCATCCCTGTGGTCAAGTAATCCCCCTCTTAGATTTATACCCAAGAAAGATGATAACAAATATTCACAAAAAGCCCCATGAATATTCATGATAGCCAACAGTAGAACGAACCCGGATGTCTATCAATTCAAAGGTGGAGAAATAAAATGTGGCATAGCCACACGATGGGATCTTATTTGGCAATACAACAAATGCGATGGATAGATGCTAACACAGGCATGAACCTTTCAAACACAGTGCTAAGCGAAAGAAACTAGTCACCAAAGACCACACATTGTATGATTTCATTTCACATGTGCAGAATAAGCAAATCTGAGAAAGAAAGAAGATTAATAGTTGCCTAAGGCTTAGGAGGGTCAGAGGGAATAGGGAGTGACTGCTAATAGCTGAAGGATTTCTTTTCAGTATGATGAAAATGTTTGAAAAATTGATTGCGGTTATAGTTGCTCAACTCTAGGAATGTATTATTAATAAAAATAGAACTGTACACTTTAACTAGGTGAATTAGATAGCATGTTGATATTGCTCAATAGGATGGTTATATTGTAAATAGACAGATAAATAAGAAAGAAATCAAAGAATCTTATTTTGATAATAAAGACTAAAGACCAACAGTCGAAAGACAGTTGAAAGTAACTGCAAAGCCCTAAGTGAATCTTATCTTCAGTGCAAAACTGTTAATATATACTGTATGAAGGCACTCTAAGAAAAACCAAACCCTCTAGAACAGATAAAAGTGGATCGTCTTAAAAGATACATCAATGTCACCTTCTCTTGGCTGCTTCCAACTATTCTGTACATCAATCTGGGTTGTTGTTCAGCGATAATATTTATGAGGTAAAAGCTAAACCTATATTTAATACTATATGGCACCCAAACCAAGTCAAGATATTATTGGCCAACTGTGGACTCCACACCCTGTGAGCTGGTCCTTGAATATTCTAATCCCTGCCTGGGAGTTATTTACGTATCTGGTTTAGCACTCTGTACCATGGCAACTAAAATCAGCTTAGCCATCTGTCTCCAAATTTCTTGGTTCACCTCTTACCAAAAGTAATAGTGGTTCCTATATCCAGTACGAAAAAAATAGGATAAACAAAGCCCTTTTGGCTGTGACAACAGGGTTACAAAATATATGAGACCTATAGAGGAACTACTGATATAAAATTATAACTATAACTATAAAACTATAAAAAGTTACTAAAGAACATAAAATAACTGAATTAAAGGAACAATAATCCATGTTCCAGGATGGGAAGACCAGATATTAAAACAAAATCAATTTCCTCCAAATCATTCCACAGAGCCAATGTAATTCTAATTAACATTCCAGTGGAAGTTCATATGTGTGAAAATGTGCTTGAGTGTGTGTGTGATCACATGGGCACATACATATTGTTAGGTACTTTTGCAGAGGTGAGGGGCGCAATTTGGACAACTTGATTCTCAAGTTTTCTTGGATGAGACTAGAGTCAAGATGTTTTTGAAAAACAAGAACAGTGGGGGTGGAAAGAACTTCTATAGAAGTAGTTGAAGAGGAGAGAGTCTAGAAATAGACTGTCACATATATAGAAAGTTTATTAATGGTGTTAGGACCCCTGGTTTGTGTAAGAGGTCATGGCCTAAATGCTGCTGAGGAGGAGACAATCTGGAAAGCTTCTCCATTGCCTGCAAAACCCTTATATTAAATTGAAAAGTCCTAGTTCTAAGACCCAACTCATCAGATAAAAAGTACCCACACATTAAGAAGTCTAGATGGGCAGTTACAGAGGAGTTAAATTATCCTATAGGCAGGCTTGGGAGCTACCGTATTAATGACATGAGTTCCCACCGTATTGGGAATGAAAGCTCAAGCAGAGAAATATAGAAGACGCCCCTAATCCTATTCTCTGCAAAAGTAGGTGAGCCTCAGAGGAAGAAGATGGCCCCAGGGAAATGTGACAACTTTCCATCAAGGTATCCTTTACCTGAGTTAAGTACATGCTTGCCCTCACTGAGTCCACGTCTGAATGTCTAATTTCTGCTGACCCAGAAACTAACAGGGTGTTGGTCTCCCATAACTCTCCCTTTCGAAAAGTGCCAAATTAGGTCTCCCCCTTGCTCTACATGCAAAAACTAATTCCAAATAAATTAATCTTCTGAAACTAATTCAACTCCTGGGAATTTCACCCATGAAATGGTCATACAAAGTGCATCAAGGTGCATGTAAAAGAATATTTATTACAGTAGTAATTCTATTGGTCAAAAGATCAGAAAACAGTAGCCATGATAATAGCTAATATAAATTGAGAATTTACCACGAGACTAGTTTTGGTTGAAGTCCCTTTATGATCTTCATAGCCACCCTCTGAGACAACAGGTATAATTGGTTCCATTTTATAGTCATGGAAGTGGTGATGCAGGGGGGCTGTGTTACCATCCACACTCAGACATGTGGCTTGGTCTGTCTCTAGAGAGCCAGCCCCAAAGCTCATTCTTTCAGCCCCAACCCAAAGGTGCATTGTTCATTCATTGGAAAAATATGTATTGAGTGGTATCACGTTCTGGGGATGGTACTGAGCACTGGAGACACCATGAACAAAGATAGCCATGGTCCCTGCCCTCATTGGGCTTGCAGCCTAACAGTGGGGGGAGGGGAAGAGATACAAGAATTCATGCCTATAAACTGTGATGTGCAAGAAGGGTGTATATATGCATACATGTACAGTGTTTCGCCATGAGACCATTTAATAGGTCACGCGCTTGGCCCAGGGTGTGGGAAGGGCTTCCCCGAGGAAGTAGCACCAGAGCTGGAGTCTGACCGAGGAGGAGGTTGGGCAGGTGAGGTGTCTGGCTGTCTGGTGTAGGAAACAACTTGTATAATGACCCCATGGCAGGTGGGAGTGTGGTATCTTCACTCTGTCAGTAACGACAAGCAGCGTTTTAATGCTGTGGATTCTGAGACCTACGCATGCCACCATTCTGCAACATCCTGGCCAGAAGGTCCCAGAACCTGGTAGGAGGAGGGCCATGGCAGCAAGGGCCATGGCAGGAGCTCATGCCTCTAGGGCTGGGGAGGGACTGAGCCACAGATGGGTCCCAGTTGTTGGGCTGTGATTTAGCATTCTTTGCGTGCAAACAGCACCTTGGAAATATACATCTGCAGGATGGAATGAGTCTAATCTGTTTTAAAGGGAGGCCACTCCCTGTGCCCAGGCCTCAGACATGTTGCCCCGCAGGAAGGAGACAAAACACAGATGGGCACGAACAACAACTGGAGACAGAAGTCAGCTTCACGGGCACAGCTGGGAGGTGCTGGCTGCTTCCGAGAGCAGATACCATCACGCATCCACCCTCTGCTGGGAAGCATGCCTCCCCAGACTCTCTCCAAACTCCATCAGCCCTTAGTAGGAGCGAGGCACAGACCTGCAGGCTGTGGGCAAGGGAGAGAAGTACGGTACTTGCACAGCTCAGAGGCCTCAGGTCCTTTGATGAAGAAAGAAGTAGTATAAATAAACAAATAAATATAGCCGTTAGAAAAAGCAATGCACACATAAAGAGATCAAATGCTACACAGAATATATTGTGGATGCAACCATGTAAAATAAGTCAACCAATGGATGGGACCTACATAGACAAAGGACTAGAAAGAAATCTTTTTTTAATAACATGTAAATTATGTTTTGCCTCTCCAGTAGGGAATTAGGTAGGGTTTTCCTACTTTTTAATACTTCTGAAAGTTCTAAAATAAACACATTTTTTGATGGCAAGAGAGTAAACTATTTAAATCCATTTAGTGATTAATAGGTATTCATTAAGAACCTCTTGTACCAGGCTCGGTTCTAGGCCTTGGGAACTCAACCATGAGAGTGTGTGTGTGTGTGTGTGTGTGCGTGTGTGATCTCAAGGATCAGGAAGGGCAGTATGGATGAGGCAGGGGGAGGGCAGGAGGGAGAGGATTGCAGGGTAGCAGGCTCATGTAAGGCTTCGTGGAGCATGAAAAGATTTTGGATTCTATTCTGAAATGGGATGAAATGAGACAGAGCAAAAGTCAAATATCCTTGCTGGGAGGTAGCAAAGCAGGCTGGATACTACAGTAAGGACTGCAGAGGGGCCACGAGAACCAGGCAGGAGCTGTCACTGGGAAGCCTTCACAGGAGCAATCAACACTGATCTGGACCCCAACATGATCTGGACCCCACGGATGGATGAGAAGGGCCAGGCTGGGTAGAGGATGCCGAGACTGTCAGTTATTTCTTGAACAAAATCAAAACCAAAAGCCTACCCTTGCAAGTCAATATTTTAAAGGAAGGAAGCTCTCTGTAGAAAATGGACAACCAGAGCTTTTATTTGAGATGAAAGAATGCCCAAAAATGATGGCAGGAAATTGTGAAGACAATATCTGATATACTCATATTTGTTTCCATAAGACCTCAGAGTACGTCAAACCTCCTGGCTCTTATGAAATATTCATGCTAGACAGCAAAGGGAAATTCAGTTTAGAGAGCAGCTCAGAACTTTTGTGAAGGAACAATGAGGAAGCGCTTTGATTCCTTTTTCTTTGTTTCCTGATTTCTGGGTACTTGCTAAGTGGGGTCTGACTAGCCATCATCTCCAATCTTTTGATTGAGCATGACTTGACTGTCAGCCATGTGTTTTGAAAAGACGTGGGGCTGGCTCCCCACATCATGCTACAAAGGTACAATTTCAGAGTGCTTGGGAGGCAGGTGAAGAGCCAGGTCCAACATCAAATTGTCCTGAGAATTACTCAACGAGCAGTTACTGCACCAGGCGCGGGAGGAGGGACGGCGGGCGCCTGGCTGCTCTTATAAAAAGTAACTGGAGACTTCTTGCTTCATGGCCTTCCCCCAACACAAGGCCACCCAGACCTAGCGTTTCTGATCCCCCAAGCTCGCAGCAGAAGGCAGCCAGCATGTTCACGCTTCCCCCCAGGTCTACCAAGAACCCCTCCAACAACACAGGGGACTCCGCAATACCAACAAGGAGGGTACCCCGGGAGCCCTGACGGAAAAAGCAAAACACCCCAGGCCACGTCTAGCTCTCTGTCTCAGTCTCTCCCTTCCCAGATCCCTTGAGTTCCTTGCCTCATTTCATGCCCTTGTGGGAACAGTCTCATCTCCTTGTAGGTCCAGATCCCAAAGACCCAGTTTGAAACTCTAGACCCGCTGGGTTGTTTCAATTTCCAGCCTGGGAAACACACATCAGTTAGATCCCGGCAAAGCTGGTGACAGGGAATGTCATCTCCAGGTCACACAGCTCCCTTCCCAAGGGGAAGAAGTCAAACCCATTGAGAGCTAATAATATTCTCATTATACGAAAACCACAAAGTATATATAATCAGAACACAGGAACAGGAAGCAGGCTCTCTCCCTGGGCCTCGGGCCTCAGAGCAAACACTCAAGTCTGCGGGCGAGTCCTGCCCAGGTGAGCAGCCTCGGCGCCCCTGGCCTCCCTGTCCAGGGCGTGAGCGTCATGCCCTGGCCACGCCGATGCTCTTGTTCATATCCTCCAGTTACCTCATTCTCCTTCAAGCATGCTACCGGAAGGAGAGGAAAGGCTGGTCTGCGTGACATGAGTTCTTCACACAGCACGGAACCATCTAAACACAAACAGTCGTCGGTGACCTCAGCACCAGGGATCAGTGGGTCCAGCTTCCAGATCCAGCTGGTCCACTTCAGGAAAATCATTATTGTGGGACAACCTCAGCTAAAGCGTCCTTCCGGTCTCACACCTTCCAACAATTCCTCTCCCGTCCTGAAAAGCAGCTGAGCTTGCCAAGTGTGGTGAATGTCTTCGTTTTTCCTGCCATCTTCTTTTTCTCCCACCCAGCACGAAACTCAACAACAGAACTTCTAAGCCCTTCCATTAAAAATCATGCCCAAGCCAGCTCAGGCCAAGCTGCTGTCCCCTCACACCTGGACTCTTAAAAGCCTGTGTCTGGCTTCCTCTTGCTCCTGAAATCTATTTTCCACCTAGTCACCAGAACGGTCCTATCAATTAGGCCGCGTCTCTCTGTTGCTCTCCTTCTCCAATGTGTACCCACCTTCCCAGATGGAAACTTAAAGGCCTTTCCATGTCTCGGGTCCTAGTGTCCCCCTGGCTAGCCTGTTCTGCTGGCTCATCATTCCAACCTCTCCAGCTGCTCTGCCTCCTGCCGCACAGGCTTTGCACAGCCCTTCCCTCTGCTGGAACACTCTTCCACCATGTATGGGCCTTTACTTCCTTCAGGGGTCTGCTCACATGCTCATACCCCCCACCCCGAGGGGGCACCACACGGCATCTGCTTTGTTGTCTGTCTCCTTCAAGCATAAGCTACTTCATGGCAGGAGTTTCCTTTGTTTGTTATTTACCTCCAGCACCCTGCTGTAGTGTCTTGGAATGTGCTAAATGAACAAATAAAGGCCAAAATATGATGCTGAAAGGTTGTGCGGTCACCGAGCTGACTTGCTGTCAAAGTTTCCGTTGAAGAATAGAAGGAACTTTCCCTCAGTGTTCCAGTGACGTCACAGAGCTCACTGCCTGAACCAGAGGCAGGACGCTTATACAAGCTCTGCCTGAATAGGTAGTTCTTCTTCCCAAAAGCAGCTCCTGGTAGGGGCATGGTGCTCTAAATCCTGAGAAAAGAGTACAAAAGGCACTGGATTAGATGATTCTTAAAACAACCTCTAACTCAAAAGTCAAATACGGTGGATATCAGTGGCAAAAAGTCCTCCCTGGCCTGTCTGTCCCCTAGAGGTGATGTACTGGTCTGAAAATGGCCCCCAACATGGAAGGAGGAACCCAACGCCATGTGACTTACCACCGTGATAAATGGGCCTGGCAAACTGTGGGTAGCAATAAACCCTTGCATAGCCCTGCTGTCTCAGGGGTGCAAGTGAAGCTCCCCATTCATAGGAGATGAGGAAATTGCATCAAGAAAGCCAGCTCATCTTTGGAGAGATGAGGACACAGGGCCTGACGTCAGTGTGACACCAAACTCCTAGTGCAGCAAAAGCTGAGCTACAAATGATGCTGCCATTGGCCTCATTATGGAAATGATAGAGACATCTCAAGACGTCACTGCTGGCTTCTGGACTGTGAATCGATGACACCAGCACTCAGGCATCAGATCAGATGGCTAGACAAGGTCAGCCAACTTAAGTATTAAACATGGTAATAAGATGTAATACGCTTTCAGGAACAAGTGCTCAATAATAGTTAGCTGCTATTAGGGCAACATGGAGTCGGCTGTCGCCAGAGTTCCCTGGGAGGCTATGTGCAACCACCTGGGCCCCTACTGAGTGCCAGGCAAGAGAGAAAAAAGTCTACAAAAGATTATCCTGCCTTGCATAAGCTAACACTATAATAACAATGATGATGACAACAAGAAAAAGATGACAAATGGTGACAAAAAGAGCAGTCAACATGTGGAGGCCTTGCTTTGCACCAGGTGCTGCAATAGCTCATATAAGCATTGCAACAGCGGGGTGTTACTGTGCTGGTCTCAAAGTGAGGAAATTGAAGAGCAAAGATTTATCCAAGGGCATTCGGGGAGCTCAAATCCCCTCTGATTTTCAGAGCCAACTCTTACAATTTTCATAAAATGTAGCTTACCCCTGCACCTAGTGCATTAGCACTGAAGGAGGAGAGGTAGAGACCTCACTGCCTGGTGAGTTAGGGAGGGTTTCTGAAAACAAAAGGAGAAAACTCCTGTTAGCAGATGCCCCTGCTCCAGCAGATGGAGGAAGTCAGCCCTGGCACCCACTATGGGACTCGACACTCACCCTGCAAGAAGACCTGCAGGCAGGAATGCGTTTAGCTGCACAGATGCCCAGTAGGCTGGAATCTGTCTTCCCAGACTTTTTGAAGTGGATTTTTTATTGAGTGTTAAACTTCTTGGCATTTTTACCTATTAAAAATATAAAGTATAAATTAAGACATTCATTCTCTTCCCAGAATCCTCCCAGCAGCTTATCTGTAATTTCCCCTGAGCACCCACCACTTTCTATTTTACTATTAGCTGGCACCAAAGGTGCTAAATATTTTTTTTTACTGAATATGTTACTAGGAAAGGCAAGACATACATAAATAATACCAGGCACTCATTGTTGAAAGGGCCTTAAAGGTAGAGACCAAACCTGGAAAGGATCTGCCCAAAGTCACACAGCATAACAAACAGCAAACTTGGCCTGGCTTTCAGCCCTGCGGCCTGTTAAGGGCGTGCACTACCTCTTCTACCTGGTGAAGGGCTGAAAACCTTGGCGAGGGAAAAGGACAGATGTGGGCAAATAGACCTACAAATGTTCTTGTGGTAACCAGACAAAATCCTCACCAATTCACAAGCAACCTCAGGCAAACAGAAAATAGTGACAATAGAATCATAAAAGTTCAGATAGCTCATAAAGCACTCACTCTGCACCTCACACCATTCTAGTTACTTTACCATTGTCAGCTCTTACAATCCTCACATGTGTGTCTGATGTCCTATGACCATGCCCGCATTTCAGCGAGCTAAGGTTAAGCACAGAGAGGTTAAGCAACTTGCCCAAGGTCACCTAATCCAGCCAGCACTTACTGAGTACTTGCCGTGTGCCAGAAACCCAGTCCAGGAACAGTACATTATCTCGTTTATCACTAAAGCAATACTAATTACTATCATCACCACTTTCACATGAAGCCAGTGGGGCTCCAGGAGGGTAACCCGTCCACGCAGTGTGAGTTCAGAGCCTGTGCTTGTAACCACGAGCTGGGTGGCTACGCGCGGGACAAGCTGGGCGCAAGGGGACCGGGCACTCCAGGGCATGATGCTCCGGGGCGGAATCCTCAGCCAGGGCCAGGGCCAGATCTGCGCGCGAGGAAGGCCCTTGGCCTTTCCAGTTCTTGGCGCCCCAGCCCGGGGACTTTCAGCCCCACAGGCTGGCGCACTGCGTGTCGCTACTGCCCCCTGCTGCCGGCCGCCCTGGGGTAGAGCCCGGCCGGGATCTGAGGGTGCCCCCACCTCCTCGCAGCTCTAGAGGGGACCACGACACCCCAGCTGCCGCAGATGCCCCCGACCCCAGCACCAAAGAGAGCGCAGGTCGACCGCCCTCTGTCTTCTCTCCGCCGGTCTCTCCCCACACCCCCGACCTTCCACCCGGCTTCGTTTCTACCCCAGGGACGCCAGGCCGCAGCCCAGCGGTCTCCCCAAGACAGAGATCGAGGCCCGCGGCACCCCACCCCGGGTTGCCACGGTGACGCGGGCCCTCGGGGAAGCTCCAGGCGGCGCGGGGTCCCCGGGCAGCCGCTGCGCGCCGGGGTCTTAAAGCCAACGCAGCGCCCCAGGTTGCCATGGTGATGCGGGCGGGCAGCAGCTGGCGCGCGCGGGGTCGGCAGGACGCGCGGGGGAAACGAGGCAGCTCGGGTCCTTTCTCTGCCTCGGCCGAGGCTCTTGCTAGGAGCCGGGGGAAGCTCCCCGCCGCCCTAGCTGCGGGGCTGCAGCGGCCGATGAGCAAGAGGAGCGGGGCGTTAGGGACGCAGAGGCCCCCCTTGAGCTCTCTGAATTCCAGGGGCGGTCAGGACCCAAGCAGCTCAGCCATGGTCCTCATTTTCCCGCCATCAGTGCAGGGATGGCCCTGGTTGCCATGGTGATGCGGGCCGCGGAGGAGGGTCGGTTCGTAGACTGCGAGGTGTTGGCTCTCTGCCTCCCTGACGGTGCAAAGCTACACCCGAGCCCCAGAAGGACTGGGAGCAATGGGGTGGGGGGCTGCTCCCTGCATTAGCTGGGCATGCTTCCTGGGGGCCCTGGAGGCTTCACCTTTTGACCACACATCACCGGATGACGGTCCACCAGGGTGGGCTGAGTCCTGGCGCTGCAGGGACTGCAGGGCCCGCTGAGCTTTTTGAGGCTCCCTAGTTTTCGGGAGCATGATTGTGCCGCAATAACCAGTTTACGACCGGAGGACCTTAGCATTTTATCCCATCTTTTATTACTCTAAGCAATACTTACTAATATCCTTGTATATACCTCTATAAACACGTGCAATTTTCTCTGTAGAATAAATCTCCAAAAGTAAAATTGCTGCCTCAAAAGCCAAATGCAATTTTAATTTTCATGGATATAACCAAATTGCTCTTCCAAAGACAGTAGCAAATTTACATCCCCACCAAAACTGGAATCCGATAATTTTAATTAGGATTATATCAACAGTGATGAACTGCTGTGAAAGAATTTTCCAGAGCCAGTACCATTATGCCAATTTAATTCTTTGGTGGTTTTTCAATACAATGTTGTGAAATGGTTTCCAATTCCACTTCTGTTTTATGGAAATTATCTTCACTGAATGATTCTTTTACATGCAAATTTCATAATAAACATTTTGCTTATTTAATAATTTGCATATTGAGTTTTACTTTAGTATCCATCATTGTGAGGTTTCTTAATTTTCCTGGGGAGGGGGATAATCCCTGATATTCAGAAGCTGGTCTGGCTCACACAGCTGGACCGGGATATTCTTCTTCTATTGGACATTAACAATAGGACGATGCCAACCACAGACAAGGTTATTTAGATGATAAAATAAGACAGCAAGCCTGCTTCATAATGTTGTCTAAAACATGGCCATGGGGCTACCCACAATACCAACATCCCCCTCTCTTGGCTAAAATGAGTCACTGCCACCTCTCTACCAATTAAGAGTTCTATCTGATTATAGTCTGCCTTCTCTAGAGATTAGATGTATTGAGCAGCCGAATCACAGAATGCTCCTCTTTTCCAACTTGCCAATTCAGGGCAACCCCCACTTCCATACATCCACTCCATACTCCCCAGACTAAATTCAAAACCTCTAGTAGGTTATTTTTAACATTTAACTTTTACTGAGACCCACCCGTGTTCCCCCACAGTGTGTGCTCTCCCTCCTTGCTACAAGTAATAAATCCAGCTTGTTCAACTCTGGGTGTGTTCCTGGTCATGTTGGGCCAGAGGGCAGAGAGAGACACTTGCAAGTTTAATTTTCTTTGGTGAAGTTGTACAGGGCTAAAATTTCCCAAAGGCAGTCCCCCACAAACACTTAATAAAGAACAAATTTTACATGGGCAGTTTGTTTTAGTTTATTTCAACCAGATCTGATTTCTCCCAGTTTTTGTAATTTTCAATATTACCCTCAAGAAATGAGTCTTCTGGGCCTCCCCTGGTGGCCCAGGCGGTTGAGCGCTGCTCTGGGAAGCTGTCCCCAGCCTCTGCAGCCCTGGTTTGATCCCTGCCAGCTGGCGAGTGTCCCACATGGCATGGCAGACCTCTCCTGTCTCGCCCGCTGCTCCCCTCAGCAGTGTATTTCTGTCGTCTGCCTGTTCTGTTCCCTGCTCTGTCTCTGGTGGATCCTCTCACCCACCCACACATCTGGCCTATACCTCGATTCTTGTACAAATAAATAAATCTTAAAAAAAAAAAAGAAATGAGTCTTCTGATTTCATAAAATCATTTTCACAGGGACCATCTTAACCCTGTCAGTTTTCTTTTGCAGTGTTTCTAACCAGTCATGGTCATGATGAGTCGGACTGAAGACTGAAGATAATTTTTATCTACTTCTTGATTCAAGAACCATCATAAGGCAATGATGGAAGACCTTGTTATGCAGCAAATAAAAACGTTCTGCCTCGGTTGGCAGGCTTACCATGTGCCACTGCGTCCATGTCTGTATCGAGCACTGGGGACACAGACCCTGCTGGGAAGGAGTCACAGACTAATCAGAGAGATGGAGGAGCTGGCTGGCCTCAATTTGCCAGTTGGATGAGAATGAAAAAGACCTTCCAGATGGAGAGAAGAGCTGAATAGGAGATGTTTATTCACTCAGTAAAGATTTATTGAGTGTCTATTTTATGCCAGGAAATGTACCGGGTATGGGGATGCAGGGACCAACAAGTCCCTGCCCTCCCAAAGCTCTCAGTCCAGTGACAGAGACGCAGACCAATGACTGTGTAACACCAATGACTGTAATGTGTGCTAATGTTGCCGAGAAAGCCCCAGGGTGTGGTGGGGGGCTGGGACAATGCAACCTGACCTGTGGGGTTCCAGGAGGACTTCTTTGAGAGAGTCTTTAATCTGAAATGCAAAGGAAGAGTGGACTGCAGCAGGAACAACCCCTGCCCTGAAGAGAGGAAAGGCTTGACTCTCTTGAGGACGTGGAAGCCGCTTCTTGTGGCTGGATAAATTGAGGGGCTGGGGGGTGAAGGCAGTAGAGCAAGGTCTGGTCTTAGAAGGCTTTGACCACTGAGCTAAGCAGTTTGCATTTTAATTTAAAAACAGCAAGCCAGGGAAGAGTATGAGGAGAAGGAATGGGGTGATTAGATTAGAAATCCATTTCTTTTTTAAAAAACAGTGTCTGTGCGGAGGGTGGATGGGGGTGAGGGGGTAATAACAGCCAGGGAACCAAATGGAATGCGACTTCAACAGTTGTACCAGGGAACGATGCTTGTGATTGCACCAAGTAGTATGCAGAGGAGGGAGTATTCAGCAGAGCATGGAAGGTAGGATGCGGGCGAGTGTGGAGGTGAGGAAGTATCTAGTGAAAATACAGACTCGACCCTGTTATAACCGGCATCGTGACCCCCTCAAATTCATATGTTGAAATCCTAATCTTCAGTGCCTCAGAACGTGACTATATTTGGAGACATAAGGTCTCAACTTTAATTAAGTGAAATGAAATAATCTGGGTAAGCCCTAGTCCAGTATGATGGGCATGAGGAAAGGCAGGAGGCTTGCAGAGAAGAGGCCATCGGTGGACCTGGGGAGAAGGCAGCTCTGTGGAAGCCAGGAGGAGCTCTCAGGACTGACCCAGCCCACCCATTCCCCTGTTCTGGAGGCCGCCGCCAGGGTCATGAGAAAGCACATTTCTGTGGTTGGAACCAGCTGGCCCGTGGTATCCTGTTGCAGTGGTGCAAGTGGACCACTACACACCCAAGTGTCCAAATTATTGGGTAAATGGGAAATAAATGACAGCCCATCTATGTTATGGAAAAATGTCTTTTCCCCCAGGATACACCATGCAAGTTCAAGGCTTTGACTGCACGAGGAGTTTCATTTAATAACCTCTCTTGTCCTGGAGGAATTTCCTTGCATTTATAAGGACCAGCATGGAGCCCGGAGCAGCCTCCTGACAGACACCTCCCCAGGGCCGTAGGTACAGGCTATTTACAGCAGCAAAGGTCCCAGCCATCACTGCATCATTTTCTTTGTCTCTCTTATTCTGTTTTTTTTTTTTTGTTCAATTTCATAACGCTCAGGATCATTTATATATTTCATTTATAAACTTGCCCTAATCTTAGATCATCAGTTTACATAGCAATTATCTTTTCCACTTGTGAAAACTCACCCTATGAATTTCTTTTTTAGGAACAAATTAACTTTATGCAAATATTGAAAAGAATAAGGTGGGGAAAAATGAGGTAGAGCTATATATACTTTTATGAAAAGATGTCTAAACCATGTGGTTAAGTGAGAAAAGAATGCGTGTAGATTATAAACCTATTTTCATCTTTTAGTAGAACCATTTGTTAGTAGATGCTTAAAGGGGAAAAGATCCAGGAGCATATACAGCCAGTTTTTCAAGTATTGGAAAAATTCTACCATATAAAGATCTAAGTTCTGTCACTTAAACCCTGTTGAAGGTCTTCTGCAGCAGGGGCAGTGCAATACATGGTGATGTGCCAAAGGCCAGTAAGTGAGTAAAAGACACCCCCCCAACACGTGTGCACACGCGCGCGCACACACACACACACACACACACACACACACACACTGGCACTCCCAGGCTTACTGTTCATAACACATAACCAAGGGTGCTCTTTGGGTTCAAACCGCTTTGTAAATATCAGTAAAGCTTAAAGTCTATCTTATTTTAAAATAAACATAAACACAAACCCTGATATAGTCTTCTTCCACCCCAAAGGATCATCTTGTACACCCTTTGGACAATTGGAAAGAACACCAGCATTCTTGTAACCAGAGAGATAAAAAACAACTCTGTGAAAGGAGTGGATGGTGATTCATCAGAATGGTACCTTTATACCAGTAGAAAACAATTTTGTCCATAAAACATTCACTGTGTGTGATTCAGAGAACATAACTATTTTGAGAAAGGAGACACCAACACTGCCTGGTATTTGTTTTCTTACTTGAAGGGGAGGA